CTGCAGCTTCGCGCAGTAGCGGGCATATCAACTTACTCGTTGTTCGTACAGTATAAGTTACATGTTTTGTTTGGAGCTCATTTGGTGTGTTGTGTGATATTTCTTTTTCTCTCTGTGTTCAGGTCAGGTTCTGGACAGCAGGACCCGGTCGCCGTGGAGCTTGTCTTTCCTGAGCGATCTCTTCTGGGGTGCCGTCGAGTTTATTGGCTTGTTGTAAGTTCAGTTTGTTTGCATGTGTGTGTTTTCTCTGGCCAGCTGGGACAGTAACGTTAGTTTCAGTTTTTATATTGCCTTGCCAACATGCTCACTGATCTCACCATGATGAAATGAACGAGACAATACTAGTTTTAGTAATTCATTATAACATACGTTGAAAATATATTTTCCACTACATGTCAAGTTTTTATTACACATTTTTTAGTTCTTTGCAAAAATGAAAAATCCTAACAAAATGGAAATTGTGCAGCTAAAATGTAACTAAATTCATAAACACACTTGTGCTGGTAAACAATGGTTTAAAACATCACTGCCTGGTCTGTAGTTATCAATACATTAACATCAATGCTTCCAAGAGTCGCACAAGTCATTTTTGCCATTTTTATAAAACCTCTGCATACTAGAAAATTAAGATCAGGTTCCAGACAGACTGTCAGTCTGTGTATTAGTGGGGGGAATTGACTCTTTCCGCAGGCTAGTGGTGATACTGATACTGACCTTATATGGATGTTTAACAATACAGAATGTATATTTTTAAAAAAAAAGGATCAATAAGTATAAGACGAATGTGTTCATAAATGAAGAGTAGTCAACCCTGTTGTAAATGAAACATTCTTTCTTTGCATTCATTTTGAAGTCATGATCGAACTGTATGTTCACTCAAGACCTACACATATTGAAAGGTGAACAGTCATCAGTATGTGATTTTCTTTAAAATAACCTTGAGCATATTTTACTGGACTGTCCTGCTTTTAATGTTATTAGGAAAACATTTTATTCAGAAATAAGGGTGAATAAGGAACTGGTAAGGATATACATAACTGTAAAATTGTATAATGTGTGTCAAATATTAAACTGAAAGGTTTTCTACAGTTTATTTGTATAATGTGTTACTACAATTTCATATTTTTGCTGTAAACATAGCCGTTGATGCTGATATGGCATTAAAGGAATAGTTTGCCTAAATTGAAAATTTGCTGAAAATTTACTTACACACAGGCCATCCTAGATACAGATGAGTTTTTTTTTTTTTTTTCAAATGTTTAGCAAATAAAATTTTTTGAGTGAACTATTGCTTTAATAAATAAATGAATATATGCAAGTTACATCATTACGTAAGGTGGTGATAAAATATTCAGAACAGACGCAATCCTACATGCCATTGCTTAAATATCTCACAGAAAACCAAACATAACACATTTGCAAGGCCTTAAAGCAGGGAACCATTCTGTCAACTGGCCAGACACTCTCTCACACGGATTTGAGGAAGCATCAGGTGGTGATAAAATATTCAGAACAGACGCAATCCTACATGCCATTGCTTAAATATCTCACAGAAAACCAAACATAACACGTTTGCAAGGCCTTAAAGCAGGGAACCATTCTGTCAACTGGCCAGACACTCTCTCACACGGATTTGAGGAAGCATTCATGTCTGGAGCAGAAGTGTAAAATATTAAACTGCCTACATAAGATATTTTAATATAAATAATGTATGAAATAAATGTTAAAGCAGAAATAAGAAAGATGTAAACAGCATCTCGCTTGCTCCCGCTCTCTCCTCCAGCTCGTCACCTCTCCGCATTGGATTGTGGGAACTAGTGCTTCAGCGAGTGTACATCGGTGGTACACTCAAAATCAGAATGCATTGTGGGTAAAAAAAGTAGTGAACGAATGAAGTAGTTCACTCAGAATTCGGACAGCACTACACAATGATTGACACCCGATATAGTGCACTGTATAGTGGACAGGGAGACAGCTTTAGTGTTAGAGGTTTGCTCAGATCACTAGGAGCACTAGTACTAGTGATGATCGACCTGCCCGAGCTAACAATCTGTATAATGTCTCCACAGCTTCCAGTCTCTCATTCAGCCAGATCTGTCTAAAGATGGACAGAGCAGTGCATCGTCTCGCTTCAGTGATGGCAGAGGGTACGTCTCAACCCTTCATCAGCAGAACCACTGTGTTTGTAGTCATGACGTGATCAGGTTCTGTGTGTTTACACTGTGATGTTCTTGCAGTCCTCCTGGATTCCCTGGGCGCAGACGGATGGGCAGAATAAACCACGGTGCGGGTCCCACCCCTCCTCCTATGGGCGGAGGAGGATGAGGAAGGTTAGTACGAGTGAAGAACCTGAAGAGCAACCTGACACAAACTTACTGAGAGGAGGTCATCAAGAATAACCATATGTTTGTCTTTTGCAGGTAAACGCCTGCACAGCGATGCAGGCGCACGGGGGTGTGACACGCTGGTTTTAGCTGCATACTGCTCAGATAGGGCTCCGTTGCAGACGAGCACAGTACATCACACTCCTCTTCCTATGGCTGCCGCTGCTGTCACGCAGTTTCTTGACGTTACTCTGGGAATTCCTTGTCTGAGGGGCCAGAGGGACTGATCATGGCAGCCAAACCCCAGCCGCCATCATAGAAAAGCCAACACACACACATACACGTTACATAACTTATCTCTCTCTCTCTCTCTCTCTCTTTTTTTTTTAGTAATATCTTCCGAAAGTAATGTTGTAGAGGATGTTGTATGTACCCTTTGCATCAATAAAGTAAGTTATAATGATGATCCTTTGTTCTGTCCAGACTCGTGGCTATTATTACGTGTAACAGGGTATCTACAGTCAAGAAAATCTGGAAAGATTTTTAGCCAGCAATTACATTAATTGCATACAGCACAGTAAATTCTGTCTTCAGGTTATTAAATAATACTAAATATTAATTAATTGAATGAATATTCAATTATTAATTAAATGAATATTATTCACTCTATGAGCAAAACTATTGTGTTTTCCAAAAGCATCGTAACCAGTGTTAGGGAAAGTTACTTTTAAAAGTAATGGATTACAATATTGTGTTACTTCCTAAAAAAGTAACTAATTACGGTACTTAGTTACTTTTTATTGAAAGTAAGGATATTTGTATTATTGAACATATTTAATTAGTGCAGCTTTGAGTCATATTCTGAGTTGCTTTTAACTGTTTTTATTCATTTTGAGGAAAACTAAATCTGATTTTTTTTTTTGTGAGTGAGATGAATTAATGCATGTTCACATAGAACTAAAGTAACATCTTACTCCCGATTTCTCTCAACAAGGGGACAGGAGAGCTTTCCATCAACAAATGGGGAAAAAAAGTAACTGGCGTTACTTATTTGAAAAAGTAACTCAGATATTTTCTTGTAAATTAAAAAGTAATGCGTTACTTTACTAGTTACTTGAAAAAAGTAATCTGATTACATAACTCGCGGTACTTGTAATGCGTTATCCCCAACACTGATCGTAACCCTAAGTAGGTCTCTACGATCCACTTATCTTACGATGCTTTTGAGAAACGCAGTCCTGACTATTACACAAACAGGGACTTAAATGATGTTGCATTTTAAATACATAGACATTATTATTGTGGTGTTGTTCCCCTCTTTGCAACTACAGTATAACAGCTTCTGGGAAGGCTTTCCACACGTTTTGGGGGTAATTTTTTGCCCATTCTTCCACTAGACTAGAGTATTTGTGAGGTCAAGCTCACAATCTCAGTTCCAGTTCATCCAGAAGGTGTGGCTCTGTGCAGACCATTCAAGTTCTTCCAGACCAAACTCATCCAACTCTGTGCCAAACAGCCAAGAAAACCATAACAGTAATCCAGTCCATCAATTAACATCTTTTGAAGCAAAAAGCTGCATGTTTGTAAGAAACAAACCCATCAAGATGTTCAACTTCAACTAACATCCTGTAAAAAGCAAAAAGCTTAACATCTTGACAAAAGCAAGCGAGCAAACTCATTTATATAGCACATTTACAAACAACAGACGTTGCCCCAAAGTGTACGGTGGCCGAGAAGTGCAGAGCAAATCACAATTCTGAAAACAAAATAACAAGTCAGAAAAGACAATGACAAATTCGAAAACAAAATAACAAGTCAGAAAACACAACGACAAAATCAGACAAACCGGAAGAGGTAGGTATAATTTGAGACAGCGCCATTGGTTTGGGATTTCTCACCGCTGACTGGACGAGACATCTGTCAATCAACGTATACAGGAAGAACCAGCCGAAGAACAGCAGAGTCGTGGTAGAAAGTTCGGAGATGGTATTAAAGTAGCTCAGTTTAAATGTATTGTATGAATTGCGTTTACTCTGGAATAAAAAATACAGGGTGTCTATTTAGATTTAGTTAAAAGTGGATGTAAATCATCAGCTCCAGTGCACCACTGGTTATTTTGTTTTCCATCTGCACCAGATGGATAAGTGCTGTCGTTGGCTTTTTGACGCGATCGACCCGGGTTCGATCCCGCCTTTTGCGAGAATGGCAGGCAAACATCAACAACCCGATCTTCCTTCCTGGTACTGTAGTACTTTTACTAACTGTACTATAAAGTGTTCTCACCGGTTAATGACATGTGATGTATTATAGTAATGTTGTCTCTGGTCGTCTGATCTGTTCGTGTTCATGCGTTCAGGGGGCGTGGCTTACTACTGCACACAGCACAAAGCAATAAACTATTATTAACAGCATTATAAGTGATAGTTTATAAATCATAATAGATTTTCATGTTATTGTTAATGTGGTTTAGATACACACAGTAAGTTTGGGCATGTAAACGACTCGACTAGTTGTGGACTGTGCCTCTAGCTGTTTCATGGTGTAACGTCGCTCTCAAAATGCGGTTGTGACTCCTGTAAATTTCGACTCCTGTAAATTTCAGTCACATGACACGTGCAGTCGGTGGCGCTAATATTATTTATGAAGAGTCGACTTCCATTAGACAGACATGTTTTACACCCCAGCCCTGTAGGTGGCGGGACTGTACCTACAGCTGGTCTGCCAACCGCCATTAGACTGAGAGAAATAGTTGCTTTAAACAGTCTCGTGCATCAAGCAGTGTGTGGATTAATGTACTCTTAATTCATTTAGTTCATCAGCATCAGCATCATGACACAAACAGACAGAGACGCGGAGAACGGAAGAGACAGAGAGAAAGAGCAGCGCGGAGTGAAGAGACCCGTGGTGCCCGCTGCTGTACCAGAGCCATTACAGGAGGTGACAATTACATTATTCATAATCAGATCATAAATAGAAGTGAAAAGGACAAAAATCTGAAAAAAATATATACTATGTCAACACTTTCGGTGCCTGCACCCCTTATAATAACAGCAAGACTTGGTGCTTGCAAGAAGTGACAATATCAGAATAGTTATTATTATTTATGTATTATATTATAATAATGAAATTAATAATAAGTATTTAGTTTATAATAAGCATTAATTTGATATTAATAAGAATTAATTATATTTATTCTATTCAGCAATTTAATTTCTTCTAGTAACAGTTGTTTTTCATGTCTGTTTAATAATGGTCGTAACTATTTTGCATCTCCTACGTATGAAAACACGTTCTTGTTTGCGTCTCAAAACCTGGAATGTATTTCAAAATCTGATTTATACAGTAAAAATCTGAAATGGTGTCTCATTTTTGTAGCAAGAGATGTGCACATCAATGTTTGGTTTTGGTGCTGACTATTTTTTACTGAAACCTCTGTGTAAATAAGTCTTAAGTTACTACTGGATAATGTCTCAGATTATCCTAATCCACTTTACTTAATAGTTACTAGTGAACTCTTATTAGTAAAATAAAAAATTGGACTAGATAGTCAGAAGCACCTCATAATTCAAAGAAACGCACACTAGTTTAATATTTGATCTAGATAGCACACGTATGTCTGCAAGATGTCTGTTAAAGATCACTTGATCTGGAAAGCATCTGCTGTGTACAAAACGTGTACAAAAGTACGTTTTACATTCTTTCTAAATCATAAACATTAGGGTTGCTCCGATCAGGATTTTTGAGGCCGATCACAGAGATTCAAGATTCGTTTATCGTCACTATACTAAAAGTAGAGCGAAATTAGAGCAATCCGTACAGTGCAATCACACATAAATTAGTGCAAGCTAAACATCTAATTTAATTAGAAAACAAACAGTAACAGCAAAGCGAACAGTCAGATATTGCTCAGAAATATTGCACGGTGAGCAGAAAGTACTGCATGATATTGCGCACAATAAAAGAGAGTTAAATGCAACAGAATATACACACAAACACAAACTGAATAATATAAGATGTAAACTTATACTAAATAGACACACACAGAGGTATACAGAGGGTGTTGTTAACCTGTGTCAGTTGAGATATAAGATGCCCCATCAGATTGGTGCATTTCTAATTTTTTATGTGTGTGTGTGTATGCTGACAGCGTTCAGCTCCCGTATAGCACTGGGGTAAAAGCTGTTCTTAAGTCTTAGTGGTCTGTGATTTGATGGACCTGAAACGTTTACCAGAGGGCAGCAATTCAAACAAATGATGTCCTGGATGGTAGGGATCCTTTAAAATGTTCGCTGCCCTTCCAAGGCAGCCTGCAGTGTAAAGTTCTTTTAAGGAAGGCAGAGGACAGCCAATCATTTTTTGTGCCGAATCGATCACCCACTGGAGAGCTTTCTTGTCTGCCACTTAGCTGCTGGCGTACCACATGGAGATGCTGTAAGTTATCACACTTTCAGTGGCACATCGATAGAAGGACTCTAGCAGCTGCTCTTGTAGACGGCTCTTCCTCAGTGTCCTCAAGAAATAGAGTCACTGCTGTGCTTTTTTGACCGCTGCTGAAGTGTTTGTGCTCCAGGAAAGATCCCCAGCGATGTTCATGCCCAAGAATCTGAAGGCCGGAACCCTCTCCACGCAGACCCCGTTGATGTGCAATGGTGTAAGGTTTGTGTTGTGCTTTCGGAAGTCAATGATGAGCTCTTTGGTTTTAGGAGCATTCAGAGCCAGGTTATTTGCCGTGCACCATTCTGTCAGTCTCTGAATTTCATCTCTGTAAGCTGTTTCATCTCCTCCTGAGATGAGTCCAACTACGGTCGTGTCATCTGCAAATTTGTTGATAGTGTTGGTAGGATGGGTTGAAGTACAGTCATAAGTATAAAGTACAAAGGAAGTGGGCTCAGCACGCAGCCCTGTGGGGCACCTGTACTCAGAGTTAAGGTGGAGGAGAAATGGGAGCCTACCCTAACCGTCTGAGGGCGGTTAGTCAGGAAGTCCTTAATCCAGTGACAGATAGATGGAGCGAGACCTAAGTCCAGCAGTTTAGCTACCAACCTGTCAGGGAGGACTGTGTTGAATGCTGAACTGTAGTCAGTAAAAAGCATCCTCACATAGCTGCCTTGGTGTTCCAGGTGGAGCAATGCAGACGGTGCTGCATATCATGCTAAACCTCAGCTTGAGATCGGTTTTTTGAGATCGGCCTTTATAGAGACCGCCGATCAAACATCCCAAAGCGATTATCGGCCGATAGTGATCGGTAGCCGATCGATCGGAGCACCTCTAATAAATATCTTAAAGACATCAAATATATGTCTATTTGACATCTGATAGGAAACGTCCAATAGACGTATTGCAGATAAGCAAACACTCTAAAAAAACTGTAAATGCAGATGTAAATGCAGACATCAAGTAGATGTCTCCGTGATGTACGTGTGCTATCAGGGGAGTATGTTTTTTTTTCTGAAACGTTAATTGTCACTTTCAGCAAATTCAAGCCAACTTCATTGTCGTGATTCATCCCGGATCAAAATCTCTGCGGATGGGCCGGGCTACAGACACCCTCCCCATAACCGTTCCTCAGGTCATCGCCCACAGACACAAACAGCCCGGTCAGCGCCGCTACGAGGACCAGTGCCTCTTACGAGAAGGACTGAATGCAAGTAACTTCACTTCCTCTCCATAATGTGATGCTAAATATTACGATGTTGAAAGCTTAAAATGATGTAGCTAATGAAATACAATACCAGTCAAAAATTTTTGAACAGTAAGATTTTTAATGTTTTTTAAAGAAGTCTCTTCTGCTCACCAAAGCTACGTTTATTTGATCCACAATACAGCAGAAGCAGTAATATTGTGAAATATTTTTACTATTTAAAATAATTGCTTTCAATTTGAATGTTTTTGTTTTGTTTTATGTTTTATTCCTGCGATGTAAAGTTTAGGAGCATTCAGAGCCAGGTTATTTGCCATGCACCATTCTGTCAGTCTCTGAATTTCATCTCTGTAAGCCGTTTCATCTCCTCCTGAGATGAGTCCAACTACGGTCGTGTCATCTGCAAATTTGATGATAGTGTTGGTAGGATGGGTTGAAGTACAGTCATAAGTATAAAGTACAAAGGAAGTGGGCTCAGCACGCAGCCCTGTGGGGCACCTGTACTCAGAGTTAAGGTGGAGGAGAAATGGGAGCCTACCCTAACCGTCTGAGGGCGGTTAGTCAGGAAGTCCTTAATCCAGTGACAGATAGATGGAGCGAGACCTAAGTCCAGCAGTTTAGCTACCAACCTGTCAGGGAGGACTGTGTTGAATGCTGAACTGTAGTCAGTAAAAAGCATCCTCACATAGCTGCCTTGGTGTTCCAGGTGGAGCAATGCAGACGGTGCTGCATATCATGCTAAACCTCAGCTTGAGATCGGTTTTTTGAGATCGGCCTTTATAGAGACCGCCGATCAAACATCCCAAAGCGATTATCGGCCGATAGTGATCGGTAGCCGATCGATCGGAGCACCTCTAATAAATATCTTAAAGACATCAAATATATGTCTATTTGACATCTGATAGGAAACGTCCAATAGACGTATTGCAGATAAGCAAACACTCTAAAAAAACTGTAAATGCAGATGTAAATGCAGACATCAAGTAGATGTCTCCGTGATGTACGTGTGCTATCAGGGGAGTATGTTTTTTTTTCTGAAACGTTAATTGTCACTTTCAGCAAATTCAAGCCAACTTCATTGTCGTGATTCATCCCGGATCAAAATCTCTGCGGATGGGCCGGGCTACAGACACCCTCCCCATAACCATTCCTCAGGTCATCGCCCACAGACACAAACAGCCCGGTCAGCGCCGCTACGAGGACCAGTGCCTCTTACGAGAAGGACTGAATGCAAGTAACTTCACTTCCTCTCCATAATGTGATGCTAAATATTACGATGTTGAAAGCTTAAAATGATGTAGCTAATGAAATACAATACCAGTCAAAAATTTTTGAACAGTAAGATTTTTAATGTTTTTTAAAGAAGTCTCTTCTGCTCACCAAAGCTACGTTTATTTGATCCACAATACAGCAGAAGCAGTAATATTGTGAAATATTTTTACTATTTAAAATAATTGCTTTCAATTTGAATGTTTTTGTTTTGTTTTATGTTTTATTCCTGCGATGTAAAGCTGAATTTTCAGCATCATTCCTCCAGTCTTCAGTGTCACATGATCCTTCAGAAATCATTCTAATATGCTGATTTGCTGCTCAAGAAATATTTCTGATTATTATTATTATTAATATTTAAAACAGTTGAGTAAATTTTTTTCAGGATTCTTTGTTGAATAGAAAGACCCAAAGATCAGTATTTATCTGAAATAAAAAGTTTTGTAACATTATGCACTATACCATTCAAAAGCTTAGAGTCAGTATAATTTATTTATTTATTTTTTATGGGGGGGGAATATATTCAAATAGAAAGCAATTATTTTAAATAGTAAAAAATATTTCAAAATTTTACTGTTTTTGCTGTTCTTTGGATGAAATAAATGCAGGCTTGGTGAGCAGAAGAGAATTCTAAAAAATTAAAAAAACATTAAAAAGTTCAAAAACCTTTGACTGGTAGTGTACATCAGTGGTTGATTGAACTGTATATTTTCCCTCATCTGCTGTTCACTGATGCTGTAGTCAGCAGACAGCAATGAACAGAGACAAAATGGGCTAAAAATGGTCGACCAGGTGATCTGGTCCAAGAAAATGTCCAACGGTGTGAGAAGAACCCCAGTACAGGCAGCACGTGAAGGAAGTTGTCAACATGCTGCTGGTTAAAATGGGCTTCTCAGGTATGACACTAAAACCATGTGCACCTGCTGGCGAGACAGTTGTCATGTACACCTCATATTCCTGACCAGTTGTGATGGAATTTTTACCATGTAATGTTCTGTTGCTTTCAGAAATTGTTATATTGCAGAAATAAAATGTAAATGTGAAACTCTTCTTGCATGATCACACTTGTAGGATCCCTGTTGACTAGTCCAGTGCTTCTGAAAGTTAGGGAGCTGGACTAGACATCAGAAAGCATTCTGGTTCAGTGAAATGAGAATCAGTTGTGGTGTTTAGTCAGTGGTAGTTCATTTAAGCTTCAGCACTGAAGCACACACACACACACACACATTTTAATTGTTCTAGGGATGCCACGGTGAGAATTTTTTCCCACCAATTAAAAAAACTTGTGACAACAACAGAGTTTCCGATTAAACTGCATATTTTACAATATAAGATATTTGTCAGTGACGCTTGGATCTGTAGAGCTTACTTTGATCTTGAACATTAGATCTTTATATCTTGATCAAATCAAATGTTTGAAAATGGTGGGATCATTATTATTCTTAATGAAAAACACAACCACAATAAAATACGTAGTACAATGACAACCTCGCATATACTAAACAAAGAACTTTTATTAACCAAAGACAGGTGACATGCGGACTAAAATAGATATGTTTTGACCACAAATTAAGAAAATTTTTTTACGACCTAATTAATTTCATTGTCTTATTCAATCGTAGCCACACTGTACTTATTCATTCTCTTGTTTTCATTAAATTCAAATTCTTAATTTACAGCCGCAATTGTTTAAAGAGAAAACAAAATAGTAAATTGTTGAAACATTCTTAATTCGTGGCATGGAGATATATGTATATATATATCCCACATGTCACGTGTGAGGTTCTGTATATAACCATGTTGCAACAGAAATAAATAAAAGCTCTTTGGATTTTCCCTTTACTTTAAAAGGGATGCTTAGTTTGTGGTGTATTATTATTTTAGTCACATTTTAATTTAACTATTAACTACAAACTTTGCCTCAATAAACTCCTAATTTGCTGCTAATTAATAGTTAGTAAGTTAGTTGTTAAGTTTAGGTATGGGGTGGGATTAAGGGAACTAATAGTTCCGTTCCCTAAGGGGAAGTCGTGGCCTAATGGTTTGAGAGTCGGACTCATAACCCAAAGGTTGCGGGTTCAAGTCTCGTACCGGCAGGGATTGATAAACTTACATTAAACATAGACATATTGCAGGGTTTCCGTGGGGTCCTTAAAAATGTAAAAATGTATCAAAAAGTCTTAAATTGTACAATAAAGTCTTAATTATGATTTCAAGAGGTCTTAAATTTGGGGACAGAAAGACCAGAGTTGCGATATGGCTCAATGTGACAAATTTCAAAAGGCTCTGATTTCATTGAATATGAGCGCTGCACGTTTCAAAGTCTGGTGCTGCACTGCTTTGTGTTCTGCCGTTACCGGGAAAACGGTTCTATTTCTGCCATTCCCAAAGCGGCACCTGCTGGCAGAGAATGAATGTGCATTTTCAATAAGCCTGTTGTTTTTGTTCAGACCAATGTGAAAATCGACTTACGTTTTTACCCTGCAAACACGCAGAGCTGTAAATGTGAACTGGTGGATTGATAAGAAGATAATGCATTATAAAAATCTAAACAGTAAAATTTACTTATATGTTATTTAATTGATATAAAAATGTATTGATAATAATTGTTTAAATTAATATAATAATTAATACTTTTGACTCATCCATTTTCTTAAAAATAGTTTAAATATTTTAAATAAACTAAAATAGTTTATATCATTTATAAAAAATATTTTGTAAAAACTTTTATCTGTACTGTAAATCATGCTTTTTACAGTTGTTTTACAGTTTAATATGTTACTATAGACATTGCCCTACCCTGCTCATATGTTATTAATTTTATTTGTGCGGGTCTTAAAAAGTCTTAAAGGGTTAGTTCACCCAAAAATGAAAATTAGGCTGTGTTTTACTCACACCCGAGGCACCCTAGGTGTATATGACTTTCTTCTTTCAGACGAATCCAGTCGGAGTTATATTAAAAATTGTCTTTGACCTTTCAAGCTGTTTAATGCCACTCAGCGGGTGTTGCATTGCTTCAGTCCAAAAGAAGTTAAATAAAAAGCGCCCATCCCAAGTTTCCTTACTTTAGCAAAGGAAAACAAGTCTCCTCTTGGCTTACATCGAAATCCTCCGACATTCTTCTTTACACAAATCCTCATTTTGTACTTGTAATTTGTGACCGTTGTTTTGTTTTGATCTCTCCGCTGCGTTTCCCCGTGCGTCACTTCTGAGCGGCGCATGCGCAATGCTAAACTCATACGTCATCAGCCCAGAGCTGCTTCTGTTTACAACAGTGAGCGCAAGCTAGATTAAAGTGATCATTACGTTTTGAATATGGATATTTTTCTTACAAAAACGCATCGATTCGCTACAGAAGGCCTTTGCTCACCCCCCAGAGCCGTGTGAGACACTTTTTTTTTATGGATGGGCGATTTTTATTTAAGTTCTTTTGGACTGAAGCAATGCAACACCCGCTGAGTGGCATTAAACAGCTTGAAAGATCAAAGACCATTTTTAATATAACTCCGACTGGATTCGTCTGAAAGAAGAAAGTCATATACACCTAGGATGCCTCGGGGGTGAGTAAAACACAGCCTAATTTTCATTTTTGGGTGAACTAACCCTTTAAATTTGAACTTAAAAATCCTTCAACAAACCCTGTGTTTTTAGATTTTAGTGTTTTTAGATCAGATTATTCGCCATCGTCTTGTGAGTCATCGCTCCTAACTCTATGATACATGATAGGGAACTACATAGTTTTTTAAAAGGCAAAACACTGGTGTGTGAAAGTCATGAAATGGGTGTAAGGTCCAACACTGTAACCCAGCCTAACTTGATCTCCTCTGTAGCTGTGGTGGTGCATCAGGAGTCGGTGTGTGTGACCTTTGGCAGCGGTCTGAGCAGTGCGTGTGTGGTGGATGTTGGCGACCAGAAGACCAGCGTGTGCTGCGTCGAGGACGGCGTGTCCCACCGCAGCTCCAGGTGAGAGAAACGCACTGTAGGGCTGATGCGCTTTATTATACACGCTATGTTAAAGGGTTTCGTATTTTCTGAAGACAATGCTTCCTGTGTAAAACTCAAACATTTCATACAGTTGATTGATGAAAAATATGAGGCAGTGTAACAACTCACTGCGTGATGGAGCCTAGAGAACGTAGTTACAATGTCCCTAAAATTCAAGATATGGGGCAAAAATGCCCCTGTTTGACTTTGTCTCATATTTACATCATATAGTTAAGCAATATCACACGAGTGCAAATGTGATACTGATCTTATACAACGTAATGCCCCTCAGCTCAGAATGTGCTCAGGTTGTATTGTAAACAATGGCGTCGTCAATGTTGCTTATCAATTTGAGCCCGATTGAGACGCAGAGGATATTAGTGAAGAGGATTGTGCAGAACCTGTGCAAACCCGATTATACGGTTTTATCCTGATTAAAGCTTTAATACAGCACAGCAACCACGTGCGTGTCCATGTTTAACGCTTCTCATAGCTATGTGAAAAATATCTGTCTGTCTTTACACATAAAGTGTACAATTGGATTTGGAACACAGTTTATTGTAGCTGACGAGCTGATGATCTGAATGAGAGAGAGATGCAGAGCATGGGATGCCAGGAACAGTATTGAGCACCGCTGCTTTAGAACATTGATTTTGAAACTTGTGAATCTATTAGCATTGTTAGAAGACAGAAACGCGATTCATTAATAGATTTTTTCACCCGTGCACCCCTAGTTTTGATGGCACGGCAACAACTCTTCCTCTTCTCTAAAGCAGCGCAGCTGATCAAATTTTTGTTTGATCAAACAAAATATTTCTTGCCGAAGCTACTCTTTGTAATGTCTGTTTGATGCTTTACACGACAACAATGACTTTAAATTATCTTTTGGAAGTAATTTCTCAGCCAAATTTGATGTGCGATTAATTAGATAAAAAAGGTTAATTGCTTACCAGCCCTAATATATATATATATATATAAGAAATGACACTTTGCTAGAATGTAAAGTAGTGAGTGTACAGCTTGTATAACAGTGTAAATTTGCTGTCCCCTCAAAATAACTCAACACACCATTAATGTCTAAACCGCTGGCCGCAAAAGTGAGTACATCCCTAAGTGAAAATGTCCAAATTGGGCCCAATTAGCCATATTCTCTCCCAGCGTACCCAATTTGGACATTTTCACTTAGGGGTGTACTCACTTTTGTGGCCAGCGGTTTAGACATTAATGGCTGTGTGTGGAGTTATTTTGAGGGGACAGCAAATTTACACTGTTATACAAGCTGTACACTCACTACTTTACATTGTAGCAAAGTGTCATTTCTTCAGTGTTGTCACATGAAAAGATATAATAAAATATTTACAAAAACCATGATTGTCCTGTATTTTCCTTTTTCTGAAGTTGGCAACGCTACGTGTAACGCTCTCAAGATCTCTTACTGATGTGTTCTTCTGTCATGCAGCACAGTAAACACAATCAAACCATGATTGTCCTGTATTTTCCTTTTTCTGAAGTTGGCAACGCTACGTGCAACGCTCTCAAGATCTCTTACTGATGTGTTCTTCTGTCATGCAGCACAGTAAACACAATCAAAAATACTTTGAGCTCTTGTGCCGTCTCTGTTGAATGCATGTGTTTTTGTGTGCAGGTTGTGTCTTGCGTACGGAGGCTCGGATGTGACGCGGTGTTTTTTCTGGCTCATGCAGAGAGCTGGATTTCCCTATAGAGAATGTCAACTCAGCAGCAAACTGGACTGTATGTTACTGCAGCAGCTCAAAGAGTCCTTCTGCCATCTGGATCAGGTGACCTCCACGCACCTGGAGCTAAACAAATGAGTCAGCCGTTTGTCAGTATTCACTAGGGCTGGGTGGTATGACGGTGTATATCGTTACAGCGGAATAAAGTGTCCATCGTTAGAGATTTTGTTGAATCGTGTATTCCGCGGTATGCAAAAATATCTGCGTAACATAATATTACTTAAAAGTTATATACACCTTTGAGTAAGGAAACATGCATGATTGAGAAAATAAAGAGTGGGACGCTCTTGATAGAGTTATTAAGCGCAATAAGCAGAGAAAAAGAACTCAATGCAGTGTTTGCGCCGACTGACACACAGCCGAAGCGCGCGCACTGAGAGCCCCTCTCTCTTTAGTGTTTTGTTGTGCTTGAATGGTCAGATACGCACACAATTATGTCAAAATGCCCGTTGTGTGGAGTATTCACGTAAACACAGTCGGTTATGTGTTAAATAAACGTAAACAGTGGGGTGAAATCCGTATGAAATTGTATCAGTGTGTTGGATCCGTGTAGTTGGTCTTAAAGGGACAGCAGTCTAATTTAGCTGTTTCTGTCAGTCGTTATTAATGTTAATCACTCACTGCGCTTGACTGAATCGCTTTTGGATCTTTAATAATAATCTGTTCATGTTTGATTGATACAGTGAAGACTAGTCTTTTATTTATACGCTTTATTCTTACTGCATGTTAAATAAACCTAGCCTACAGTAGCTGAATAAATTATACGTTTATTTCATATTTATTTGTTCTATTGTGTTTGTAATTTTCTTTTTTTTTTCTTTTTTTTAATAACAAAAATAAAATAAAATAAAAATAGCTGTATAGAGATATATATTGTTATCGTGAAATAAAATGTATACTACAGTGAAACATATACCCACAAGTCACAAGACAAAACAATCCCAAAACTAGTTCAGTTAGTGGAAAAAAAACGCATGGAATTGAGTCTTGTATAAATATAAATGAATATATGTCTGTGTGTTCAGTATTTACATCATATTATATTATATGCATATTATGCTTTGTAATCTGATGTATTATTGATTTCTGAGCAGGATATTTCTGGGCTGCAAGATCACGAGTTTCGCACACGTTTCCCTGATTCCCCAGTGCTGCTGTATCAGCTACGATTAGGAGATGAGAAACTCCAGGTAGAGACGGACCGGATCGTGGTGGTTTAGCGCTTGTCTGCTAATTGACAGCTGCATTGTTCTGTTTGTTTGATAGGCTCCCATGGCATTATTCTACCCTGCTGCGTTTGGGATAGTGGGGCAGAAGATGACATCGCTGCTGCATCGCTCTCAAGGAGACGCAGAGGATCCACATGATGAGCACTTCCTCCTGACCACACAGAGCAAACAAGACCAGGTACAACTCTCTACAGTTCCCGAGCTTCTACGGGCGGTGCAAAAGCACGATACTTACGCAGCATGTCATTTCACTGCACTGTGGCCACTAATGCACAGCAGCAAACATGCAACCAGTTTGTTCATGGGTTCAGATTTGTAGAAATGTAGCATTGCATCAGTGTCTCAGCAATGGATGCTCTGCAGTGAATGGGTGCCGTCAGAATGAGAGTCCAAACAGCTGATAAAAACATCACAATAATCCACAAGTAATCCACACCACTCCAGTCCATCAGTGAACATCTGGAGAAGACCAAATCAGCGTGTTTGTAAAAAACAAATTCATTATTAAGTTGTTTTTCAAACCGTTGGCTTCTGGATAAAATACAAGTCCTTTATCCATAATAAAAAGTCTCATCTGAATCAGGAGAGAAATCTGCACAGATCAAGCACTGTGTTGATGTGAGAGGACAAAAGGTGATGGACTTTTTCACTGGAGGAAGCGTTACTATGGATTACATTTACATTTAGTCATTTAGCAGACGCTTTTATCCAAAGCAACTTACAAATGAGGACAATAGAAGCAATCAAACCAACATAAGAGCAACAATATGTAAGTGCTGTGACAAGTCCCAGTCAGTGTAATGCAGTAAACGAAGCAAGTGTTTTTTTATGGACTCATATTTTAGCCAGAAGTGACAGTTTGAAGGTAAAAACATTTTAATGATAGATTGGTTTCTTACAAACACACAGCGTTTGTCTTCTCCAGATGTTCACTGATGGACTGGAGTGCTGTGGATTATTGTGATGTTTTTATCAGCTGTTTGGACTCTCATTCTGACGGCACCCATTCACTGCAGAGCATCCATTGCTGAGACACTGATGCAATGCTACATTTCTCCAAATCTGATGAAGAAACAAACTCAGGTACATCTTGGACAGCCTGAGGATGAGTGCATTTTTAGCTAATTTTCATTTCCGTGTGAACTATTCCTTTAAACACTATAATGTTTCTCTTCTTTTAGCCTGTTCAAACTGAACAGGTGAGAAATGGAGGAGTGTAATCTCACTGTGTTTCTCTCTCACACAGTCTTCTAAAGCCACAACAGACCGCAAATTATTCCCTAAGCCTGCTGGGTTTGAGGGGGAATCCAACATGTGCGACCCATCGGAGAAGGGAAATCTGACTCAGGATTTGGATTTGGGTCACGCTCAAGCCGAGTGCCTCGTTGGTGGGGCGGATGCAGAAGAAACATCGTCAGCTCTGTTGTCCAGGAAGACGGCCATGACTCAGTTTGAGGGAAAAGCACTCGGCGTGGATAAAGCCATCTTACACAGCATTGACTCCTGCGGTAAATACTGACTTTACCAACACATGGCTGAATCTCCCAAAAACCTGGGGGCAAATCTGACCCCCTAATTAAAGCTTAAAGTTTGCCGTGCTATTCAAAATATATTACGTAATATAATTTCAGCCATCTCTAACTTGGGTCATACTATGGACTGAGTGGTGTAATAATTCTTGTAAAAGTGTTTTTCTCTTATAAATTCCTATATAAATGTTCAGATATGAAACATAAGAGAACAAGTTGAAGCGGAGCAAGAAACAGTATAGAAAACAGGTGGTTTCTGTGTTTTTCAATGATTAAAGTGAATTTGTACAGGGAAGGAAACGTTGTGTTGAAGAAGATGATAGATTACAGTCACTGAAGAGTTTAGCTTCAGCTTAATAAAGCTCTTCAGAGAATTACAGACAGGTGAGTTTGATCAGAGTTGTAGCGAAACTCGGCAGGACAGTGAAGCAGAACTGAAGAATCTAGCACAAGGTCCCAAAAGCAAGCTGATGAAATGTGAATCTGGGTTTTTCTGTTTGCTTTCTACAAAGCAAAATATTCTGCATATTTACAAGGTGCAGCAAAGGGAAATGATTCTGTCTGAACCCGTTGCCACAGAAATACTTTTGGTTTGAAACATGACATGAGATTTTCGGAAGCTGAATAAATAAGCTTTCCATTGATGTATGGTTTGTTAGGATAGGACAATATTTGGCCGAGATACAACTAT